AGGCAGTCTTTGTCTTGTTTACGAATTCCCTTGAGCAAATAATTTACCACACTTCTGACTGCAGTTGCTCGGTCGGTAGAGCGCTGAACTTACAGTCGGGAGATCCAAAGTTCGAGCTCCGGTTGGGTTCACTCGCCTTTCTTTCTTCTGAGATTAATAAATCAGCATTTGTAGGATGAAAGCAGGAGACAGCATACTACACTTGCCATGTAGTTACTGCGACACTGAAGATAGTAAAATAGAAATCAGCGCCCCACCATTTGCTTCACCGAAAGAATGGTGTCAGAAATGATCCAGTCATGAAAGTGTACGAAAGACCGACACTTCTACGGTTTCAATCTTTTCATTGTTTACTTCCTCATGAACCTCTTGGCGGAGGTAGAGAAATGTTATGCGTTTATTGTTATCTCTCCAAAAATACCTTTCCGCCCATGCTGGCTCCTGCGAAACTATTTTCAAATTTCAGGTAGCAGATATCGTGTGTATTTATCCCGATAAAGTAATGCTCGTGTCTGTCGATCGTCTCATGAAGCTGCTCAGAAAACCACTCATGTGCTACTAAACTTTATGTTGAGGTTTAGCCCACTTTGAGCGTCCACTGTATAGAGGTAGTGTGAACCCCGTTGCGAAACAGTTTCTGTCGGAAACCGTTTCAGGCTCTTCCTGTGTACAGCTAAAGCCTGTCGTTATTCCGTCCGGTACTGTTTTTCGGCCGGCGCCTAATCGGCGAAGAAAGCAACTCGAATGTTAGAAACAAACACGCGCCTCTTTTCGTTTAACCGATTGGCTTCTCCCTGCCCACTGTTATGTACAATTTTCCTGCCTTTGTTCACATCACCCACGACATCGATTACTTTATTGCTGAGCAGAGGCAAAGAGACTGTTGTTTAATTAACAGCGAACAAGCGAGAGGGAATCATGATTGGTACCAATGTAACTGAACTGTGTTTGTCAGATCAACAACACTGAATGCCATCAACGAAAGGCCATCGACAACTACAGATCATTGTTTAAGTTCCTTAGGCATTTTCGTAAAGTGATGCACATGGAAAAGAGAGATTGAGTTTTCGCCATGGTGTTAAAACAAACGAAAATATCCTAACCATATCTTGTTTGTTATTTGTGAAAGCGACATCCTGGAACCCCATAATTCAAAGTAAACTTTACACTGCGTACTTCACTCTTTTGAGTTACGTTGCGCTGAAATTTAGTTTGTATAAAATGGGTGTGCAAAACTAAGTCTTTTGCATAGTTTGGTAAAGTTTCCTTTCTCCTCTGGAATATGGTTTGTCAAACGCCGTCAGTCATTTGTGCAGTTTTTCGCCATAGAGCTGTCAGGCAGCGGGAAGAGCCGATAAAGCTGAATGCAGATTGTCTGTCTATCAAACACTATGAATGACTTGTTTCAAAGATAACTGTTGTGGTACACTGATTTCCTTATACATAGCATTTATTTCAAAATTGCTTGAGGGATGATGTCGCATATGCATTTTATTATATGTAAATTTTCCGATGTTTCGGATCATGCTCTTTTTGTCTTGAGGGAGAGACTTTATTAAAAAGGATGTTACAGTGTGCATGGGTACAATTAGATACAAACTTCACTCTTAAGGTTTTAGCCTTAAATATAGGAGCTGCTTCTTAACTTCATTACTGTCCACTCTTAATGGATTGATTTCATTGAATTACCAAGACTTTTTTTATCTTCTGTAGGTTTTTCCTCGTTGTATTCCTTTCATTCCGTCCTATGATATGCAGTGTCAGTTTTTGTACTGCCGGTTTCACAGCCGCCGAGATCTTGCATTCCTTCTTCACCATCAGAGGATCTTTCGTATGTCTGCTTTGTCTTTCTATTTGTGTGCTTGTCAGTTCTGACGTAGAGCGCCATTGCGCCATTTAGTCAGGTTACTGAGGAGTTCTTTTATCCTCTCCTCTATGCTGTTGCCGGTTTCTCCTATGTAACTGTGACCGCACTCACAAGGTATGGTGTAGATCCAACCGCGTTTATTTGATTTTGACTCGGTGGTTGTGAAATGGGTCATCTGGTTCCATGATATTTTTGGGATCTGAATACTAGCTAGCGGTGTTCCACGCTTTCTGGCGAACCTCTTCAGCTTCTCGCTTAGATTTTGTACTTATGGAACAACAAAGCTGCTGCTGAAATTCTGTTGTTCACTTCTAGTTCTTCCCTTGCTACTTTTCTAATGCTGATTGCTGACTGTTTCTTCTGTTATTCGTCTAGTGTAGCCACTGCTTCTGAGAGCTTTTTGCATGTAAGCAAGTTTTCTTGTGTGCCTGTTGCCTGAGTTCAGTTTTGATTTTGTACACGCAGATGCTGATTAGAGTGTTAACGATGTCCTTCTTCAGTTGCTTGTCAAACACTAGTAACGTATTAACGTAACTTGTTTCCGTTTATTGTGATTAGCACATCCAAGAAAGGTATTGAGTATGATGAATTCCATTTCTTTTTATAAGAGTATTGATTTGTTCCAGGAACATCATCTTTTTCACGGGTGTCGAATATCATCAGCGTACATTACGAAGATTATGGATCGGATCCTTGTGACGAACATTTATCATTATTTACGATATTTATTATTTAATCGTATTATTTCTGTTTTTGTCTCCTATGCAGTTTCAATTGGCAATGAAATGATTTTATGTTAATATCGGCTAACATTGTTCCAGCTAATATACCTAATTGATTATTGCTATAATGTACACAAGTTTAGGTACCGCTAAAAGTTTGTGCATTTCCGACCATTCCGGCGCCGTGGAATCTTGTGAAAATTCGTTGTCTGATCTCGACGATGTCCCGGCGAAGTTCAGCCTACCCGAGGACTACATGCTGCATTTTTCATGTATCACCAACTGCGGCTTTTCGCAGTGTGAACTTTCCGGACTACAGGAACATTACCACTGCAAGATTTGCGATTTGAAGGTACGTTAAGTATAATTGGCGTTTACACAGTTCTTGAAAGTCTTCTTGTTCCTGTATCCAGATGGCGACACCGATTTTCTGTTCGATCTATGGTATGTGAAAAATGCGCTAAATGAGGCGAAGGGTATATTTAATGGATTATGAAATTAAAAATATTAGCCTAAAAATAATTCATCATTGGTCTTATTAGCTTGTGATGCGACAGATAATTTGACGTCACCTATCAGCGGCAAGATAAACACAAGTTAATTGCCGATAAAACAGGATAGGGTTCCTGCTGTCGTATTGCCCGAAGGGACCAGTAGGATCCATTATGTACGGGTAAATGTGATCGTGCATTCATTCATTCATTTATTTGCACTCTTCTCTGTCCATTTTTCCTGGACTTCAGAGATTCTTCACTGGACCATATTCTAGTTAATTGTAATGTATACATGTTTCGTACGGCTGGTCACAAAAATCATGCAATGGAACCTGAAAGCTTGTATGCCGTAGAGGCTCGCTTAATGAGAACCCTCAGAGTTACGACATCCACACTTTTTCTGTCATCAGTTGCATCTGCTTCCTGTTTCGTGTAGTGTTTAATGTGATCACGTGCAAGTCGTTGTACGAAGCTACGCATGTTGATGAGTAGCATGTATTTCCGAAAAACGTCAGTTCGTCCCTGATACTTTCGAACGATGAATTTTTCCAATTTTTTCCGGACCCTTGCCAACGTGTGTTCGACACATCTATGGTAATCAGCCACTAGTCGCCTTGCCGTAGTGCCCGGTGAAAGAGAAAGTTTTGCTTTACTTTTTCTTCCGAATAGAATTGATACTGATCTGTTTGCTATGT